TACAACACTTGAAAGAAGAAATCAGATTTGCATTCAAAAGAAAAACTTATCCATAGGGAAGAGGGCACTTTGGCCTACAAAAGGATTACTAGTTCAATTACAGAAGTGGCACTTCGGCCCAGCTAAAAACAGAAGACTGTTACAAAGAAAAATTACAAAGCTCAAAAAAAAGATGTTAAAATAGACTACTCTACATCGGCAATTGGCTGTGTTTCAGCCTTAGCAGACAACTGGGAGAGCTTCTCAGTAGCCTTCTCGGCCTCGATTTCAGCGTTGATCTCTTGAAGAGTCTTGTCAAGGCTCTTCTCGGCATTTTCGACTTCGGTTTCAGGCATATTCTTGGGAACCTCGTCCTCATCATCCTGAGTCAAGTCAACGGCTTGCTAATTTAGAGTTGGGGACTTGGCTTCAGCAGGTTTAGACTTCTTAGACTTGTTAGTTTCAGCTTCCTCATCTTCCTTTGCCTCATCTTCGGATTGGATTGGAGTGGGAGGGAATGGCATGACGAGTCGGCTCTTATCTCGGAGAGGTGAGTCCTCGGGAACAGCTAGTTCATTTAGAGCAGCCATCCAACCAAGGGTGTAACCCCTATTGTATGCCTGTCTGACTTGTTTTTTGTACTCCTCGCGGACGTCGGCTGCCCCTTCGGCGTAGGCCTTCTCGTCCGCCTCTTTGATTTCGGTTACCTTTGGGGACAATGCCGTTTGAAGCTTAGTTTGGGCCTGGGCCTCTTTTTTTTTGGCTTCTTTCGCCTCGACCTTGGCAACCTCGGCAACATTTTTAGCGGCCTCGGCCTTATCATTAGCATTCTTTAGGGCCAGCTCAGTAACCTTGGCCTGGTCAAAAAAGCCTCGGATACGGGCCTCAGCTTTGTTCAAAGAGGACAGTAGCTTGGCTGCCTCCTTGGGCTTTTGGGTAAGCTCTTTTTTGAACACATCGGTCTTCACTACCAGGGAGTGACCCTGCTGGATAGCCTGCAAGAATGCAAAGGAAATTGGTTAAGTATGGAAGCCAGAGTTGAAGTTAGATAAAAAGTTACATGTATTAAGACTTACCAAGACACAATGTTGCATCATCATTGTGTAATTTTCATACTTCGAAAGCTCAGCCATCCGGTTGATGTCGGCTGGAAGTAGAACAGCGGTGGAAATAGCGGCACCGACCTCCAAATTGTCCACTGTTCCTCGCAAGAAGAAGTCGGTCTCCGACTGTGACAGTTAGATTCCAAGGAGCGTCAGCGTGAAAATTGGAAGGATCAGAGGAGCCGCTAGACCTTGACCTTTTGGATTGTGGAGGGTCTGATGCTTCAGCCTCGGCTGGCCTCTTGTCGGCCGAGGGAGTACTCTTTTCAGCCTTGGCCAATTTGGAGATTGGAACAGTGTCCTTAAAGTCGATCTGAGTCACTGTCGCCTTAACTTTGGCTTTTTTCACCCTCTTTGGCTTGGCCTTGGGTTGTGATTGAGAAAGAAATGATTGAACTATTACGACCCCATGCAGGTAAGCCAAAAGGTCTTCAACGACAGCCTTGCTACGGCCTATCTTTTCGGTAGTAGCAACAACAGTGACTTTGGTGTCAAAGCAGATCGTTGAAAATGCAATAGGTGGGTTGGCTGGATCGCAAACCAACGCCTCAGTGTTTTGATATTTGCGACTATGAGTTCTGCCTGCAGGAGCAAAGAGTGGAGCTCAGTGTCGGTGTTGGCGTTGGGCTAGAGGAATTAGTTGAGGAGCAAACGTTGATACAGTCTCGGCTAGATTAGAAGATGAGGCTTGATCAGGCCTTGGTGAAGAAACAACTGTTGGAGTTGTAGCAGAGGGAGGAGTCCTGCTCCTCTTAGGAACGTCGGACGATGTGGATTTATAGGTTGGAATATAGTTGAGTAGCAGAGGGACCTTACGCTGATCAAACGACAAGCTCAGCAGCTTTCTCAAGTCCTTGCTAGAAAAGAAGGACTGGCGAAAATCTTTTGAGGGTTGAAGGAGAGCTACAAGAACGAAAATCATACATTAGAACATATAGAAGGAATAAAGTATTGAGTCTTAAACGGAAAAATTGACACTTGGTTCTTACCCTCATCCTCTTTAAACACCGATCGGCACAGAGGATAGAGATGAAGGTCTTCGTCGGGTTCAACTTTCCAGTTGCTAGGGACGATAAAGTAATCATCTCCAGCACCTTTGTTGGAGTCTAGGAGGTCGGCTATGAGTTTGTAGGCTGTGGATCTCAGCTTCAAGAGTTAATGGCCAGTTGCATCGGGTTGAGCTTATAGTAGTGAAGAATTTTTCGAAAAAGAATGTTCAGAGGGAACCTAAGTCCACACTCTATGAAAGCAACTACGGGGAAAGACATGAAGTCCTCATTAGGCATGTTGGAGTCCTCCTCCCCTGCCAGCCTAAGGTGAACATTGGCTGGGATGGAGAACTCTCTCCTAAAGTACTCAAGTTTTTCCGATGTATCTACCCGCCACCTAAACATACGCATGATGTCGGCTAAAGGAAAAAGGTGCAAGATTTCAGAAGGGTGGTTGGTATAGGTTTGAAAGACCTCGGCTAAACCCTAAACAGGAACTAGGGCAAGGGTTTTTGGAGATTTAGGGAGAATTTGTTTCAATTTCCCTAAGGAATGTTGTTTCTATCAAAACCCAAACCTAAATCTATACGGAAAATAGGAAATCAAGGGAAAGATCCAAAAATAAGCAAGAAAAACATAAAAGAGCAATGATTCAGACTCAAGAAAACAAACAGAAATTCAAGAACACTATGTAAGCGTGTGCAAACATGCAAAAACCAAAGAACAGTGGCAAAATTGCTAAAACATCATGTGAACAGTTCATGTGTGTATATATAGACCCAGAGACAAATTGAACAACACAGAATCGCAAGCAAGCATGTATTACACCCAAGTGATTCAATAGCAAAAAATGGACAGATGATAAAAGGGGAAACGTATTCAAAATCATGGAAGATTGAAACTAAAAATTGAAAAAGAACAAAGAACTCACCAGTTGGGTCTGAGGTTGAGGTTCTCTGGAGTCAGACGGCAGAATTAGGTAGAGCAGAACGGTGAAAGCTTCGCTGGAGGAGATGAACGAAGTACAGTTGCAGAGAGCTCGATGAGAACAGCAATGGAGGTAGAGGATTTGCTAAGAGAGAGAAAATCTTAAAACGCAGAAAGAATGCGAGAATGTGAAGTAAAGAGACAGAGAGAAAGAGAGATGTTTTGTTAAAACGTAAAAAGGCGGCAAACCATAATGATATGCCTTGGATGACGTGTCTGTCAGGCGGCATGCGCAGAAGCGACGCGACCTAATGGCGCGTGTCAGGTACGAATCAATGAGAAAAGGACACGTGGATAAAACAGTTGAGAAAATCGTGCATGACAGCTCATGTGCAGATAGAACTCTTGGAGTTCTTGATTTAATGGAGTGAGAACCTCGGCTAGAGGAACGGTCCTAGTTAAGGAACTTGAAGAACTTGGTTCTTGGTTCTTGGTCATTGATAAAGTAGATTGAAGAGTCTTGGTTATATACAGCTGACGAATGATGATCTCGGTCGTAAGGGATAAAGTAAGTTTTAGCCGACGTGCTATGTAAACATATGATATAGGTTCCATCACCTCAGGATGTCGAGGTAATAGAACCTAGGGGGCAGTTGTAGGGGTATATTTTGTAAATGACAACACGTGGCCAATGTGACGTCGAAGTGTCAACCGAGGTGCCACGTGTCTTAGTCATGACACCAAGGTGATTTCGGCTAGGCTGAGGTTATCTGCGGAGATACCAGAATTCGAGATGAACTGATAAGGGATAAGAGTCCTAGAATGGGGGAGGACCTCAGTCTGGATAAAGATAAGGCTCTTAGGGAGTTTATCTCTATCTGGTTGGAAGTCCAGGGTAAGCATTGAGCCAGAGTCCATTGAAGTTAGGCTTCTACAGGGATGAAGTCAGTACTGGCTATAAAATTAAGGTACCCTTGTGGGTCTAAGGTACACTTTTTATATTCTGGCTTGTGAGTTAAGCACTATTTACTATCTTTGAGAGATAATTGAGTACTGACTTGATCATCGGAGTGCTCCCGGGTGGATGAACCACCGCCGAAGTCTTATCTTTTTGTGACAGGTCGTTCGGGCGTAATCTATTCTGCATGTGCTCTCCTGCTAAGTTTTTATTTGGCAGTGTGGTCGAAAATCAGCACCCACAGATAGCCATTCTTACCTTGATACACTCACACAGATCTTGAAGATTGGGTTGAAGTGAATTGAAAACACACTTCATATACCTCCACATAGACCACATTATTGATATAGGTAAAGCCCTCCAAATTTTGTCCATTTTCTTTTTAAACTTCCAATCCATTCACCGGAGTAGCAGATCTTTAATGAAACTGGGAATAGCCCATTGAAAAGTGTATATCGATTTGTGTGAGATCTAATATATTTAATTGATAGTATAGGATTTAAATAGATTTTAATTTATATACTTTAAAAATTAAATAGATTCAATTGATAGTTCAAGAATTAAATAGATAATTTGACAATAATTTAGAGATAAAAAATGTAATAAACCGTTTTTGTAATCGTTTTAAGAACTAAATATATTTGAATTAAATATTTTAAAAACTTAATAAATTCAATCGGCAATTTAAAAATTAAATAGATTTTAATTTATATATTTTAGGAATTAAATAAATTCAGTTGATAATTTAATAATAATTTAAGAATAAAAAATATTTAATGATAATTTAATAATAAAAAGTGCAATAAACCGTTTTACAATGACACATATTCTCTTGTATTTTAAATAATTTTTTAATAAAAGTTCCAGTGGACATAAAATAATTCAAATATCCTGATGCATATCCCATTATAATCTATATAAAGGATTAGGCATCATTATGTGCATCAACCAACCCCATTATGTAGCTCGAAATTGTTGAGGGTCAAATGGCCCGAATTTTTAAAATGACGTCATTTTAGTTTTTTTTTTTTTTTTCTCTTTTTCTCTTTGAAACTAGGAGGAGGAAGAGAGAAAAAGAAAAAAAAATAGAACAGAGAGTAGAGAGAGAGGAGCACCAAGCAAGAGAGAGACAGATTGTTGTGTTTGGTTGCCCAGAAAAACTGCGGATTTGAGTAGCCATTGCAAGGTTTTCAAGCTTACTCATAACTTTTCCAGCTCAATTTCATTTCCTTTTCTACTTCCCAACTCAGTTGTCCATTTTTGCAGGGATATTTCAAGTTTCAACCTTTTGCATTCCAAGTGTTTGTGGTTTTGACTAATAGAGGTGACTAACAAACCCTTTTTGCACTCCATCATCTTTTCCAAAGAATGCCCATGAACACTGAAGTTACAAATCATCAAATTATTTGCCTTCAACCTAGATCCAGATATATGAAGCAAGAATTTTCACAGAAGCAACAAACCCAGAAAGAAAATGCAGAAAATTTGGGTAATGTAATGTTCAAAAAGCTTAGAGAGAGAAAGTGGGTTTGCTTCGAATTTGCTCCCCTACTCGGATAGCTTCTCATCTCCGGCGTCCTCCATTCCTCTTTATTCTCTCGTTTCTCTTGGCATTCTCTCTTTCTGTCTATTGTTCCTCCTCTGTTTTTGTTCTTCTTCTTTCTCTCTCCTCCTCCTAGTTTCAGAGAAAAGCGAGGAAAAAAAAATTCAGAACGACGTTGTTTTGAAATTTCGGGCCATTCGAACCTCAGCAATTTCGAGTTACGAATCATTTTTAGTTCAACAATGATTCATCTCACTAAAAACATCACCCCTAATAGCACTAATACATTAAAAAAGTAAAAAAATAAATAAAAAAATACAACTCTAAGACCAAAACATCACATCATTAATGACGGGACCCACTGCCACCTAATTAGTGGGAGCACTAAAGCATTTTTCTTTTTAGTTCACCAACTTAAGATAAAGTTTTTGAAAAATGATTCGTAGCTCAAAAAGCGTTCGGCTCGAATGGCCCGACTGCCCAAAACGACGTCGTTTTGGGCAGTTTTTTTTTTTTTCCCTGTTAGATCTCTGAAAACAGAGGAAGAGAAAGAGAGAGGAAGAGAAAAAGAAAGAGAGAAAGGAGAGAGGAAGAGAAAAGAGAGAGAGCTCCACTAGAGACTTGAGTTTCTTCTTCTTCTTTTTCTTTTTCTTCTTCTTCTTCTTTTTTCAGGGTTTGAAATCGATCGAGTTCATCAAAATCGATGGATATGGATTTCACTAAATCGATGGATGTTGATGATGATGTTGATGAAGATGTTGTGATGATGTTGATGAAGATGTTGTGATGATGATGATGTTGATTAAGATGTTGTTGATGATGATGTTGATGAAGTGATCTATTGATGAAGATGTTGTTGTTGATGAAGATGAACACCTAGCTTGATAAAGATGAACACTGAGCTTCCTCTTCTCTCTTGGTTTTGGTTGAGTTCTGTTTGTAACAAGGATGACCTGTACAAGGAAATGGAGTGGGTGTACAAAGAAGTCGGGCCTTTCGAGCCTCGATATTTCGAGTAACAAAATGGAGTTGAAAGTTTTTTTTGCTCAACTATGATACAGACCACTAAAATAAGACCACTAAAAGCAGCTCTAATGACGTGGCATGCCTAAAAAAAATTAAAATAGAAAGAAAAGAGGAAAAAAACAAAACACAAAGAGGAAAAAGACAATTTAATGCTCTTTTAGTGCTCTAAATCATTTTTCTTTTTTTGCTTGTTTGTTTTCAAACCTCTTTTCTCTGCAAGTTCTTTTCTTCCTCTTCTTTTCTCAACACATCAAAAACATGAAGGTGGTGGTGACATCAAGAGAAACAATCAAGCCATCTTCCCCAACTCCAGTCCACAATCGAATTTTGCAACAATCTTTCATCGATCAAATAAACATCCGAAATGTTATCCCATACATTCACTACTACACATCAGACGATTGTATCAGACCCACCTCCTCGGAAAAATGTCACCTCTTAAAGAAATCCCTCTCCGAGGCCCTGACTCGGTTCTACCCTTTAGCAGGGGGTCTCAGAAGCAATCTCTATATCGAGTGCAAGGACAATGGTGTCCCCTTCTTGGAATCCAGAGTCCAATCCCAACTCTCAAACTTTGTTCGAAACCCTAACTTTGATGATCTCAACAAGTTTCTTCCTTGTGATCAACTAGATGATGCCGGCGACATACCCTTGTCAGTACAAGTCAACGTCTTCGACTGTGGCGTTGTAGCCATCGGTTCGTGCTTTTCTCACAAAATAGCAGATGGGTTGTCTGTAGTGACATTCCTCAATTTCTGGGCTAAGCTTGCTAGAGGTGTTGACGTCTCCAATATGCCCGTTCCTCGATTCGACATGCCACATTTTTCCCACCAAGAGACATTTCAGATTACAAAAGAAGTTCGGGCTCCACGAAAGAGAAGACTGTAGCGAAAAGCTTCGTGTTTAGCGACTCTGCCATATCTGCCCTTAAATCCAAGTATGCTATGGGGTTAGATACCCCGAAACCTCCCTCCCGACTTGAGGTACTCACTACTTTCATATGGAGTAGATTGGTGGCTGCCAATGGATGAGGGAGAGCAGTGGTTCAAGTAATGAACCTACGGGGGCGAGCAAATCCACTGTTACCAGAGCCCTATTTTGGTAATCTGAGTCGTTTTGCTATATTTGTACCATCCATAGACTCTAATGGAAATGAGGGTTGTCGTTTTATTAATCAAATGAGGGAAGCGATAAAGAAAATCGACAGTAATTATGTCAAAAATGTACAAGAGGGAGGCAATGTGATTGAAATGTTGAGCTCTAGCAATGTGGATTCTAGCAAATTAGAGAATAATTCTCTCGTCTTTGCGAGTAATTTCTTGTTCCCACTATACGAAGTAGATTTTGGGTGGGGAAAATCGATATGGGTGAGTTTCGCTACGTTACCGTTCAAGAATTCTATTAATTTTCTACCTAGGAGAGCAGGTGTTGGCATTGAAGCTTGGTTTTTCATGAAAGAGGATGAGTTGGCCAAACTTGAAGCCGACAAAGAGTTCCTCGCATTTGTTTGTCCGACCTTGGGTGCACAAGATTTGCTTCCCAGCTCCCTGTAGATGTGGGAAATTTGCCTGTTTGAATCCAATTTCTTCATCTACATTTTTGTTTTGGTTTTGAATGTGTTGTTTGACTCAGTCTTTTGTTGTTCTTTTTTGTTATCACAAATAAGCTAAATGTTCAAGTTTAGGAAGACTAAATAAGTGTACTTTTTGACTTTTTTTGTATTATGTATAGAAAAAGTAGAGAGAAGATGTTGATTGATGTGACCCAAAAAAGATAAAAGATGAAATAAGTGCACTTTTTTTTGTTAGCCAAACTTGGCCTAGTGTTTTTTATTCTACTGTTTCATGCTCTCTTTTTTTCCGTACATCGGAAAATAAACACTATTTCATGTTGTTGTCTTAAATAATGCAAGCTCATTGTTGTTGTCTCCAATTTCTTTTCTATTTGGCTTCTTGTAATTTTAATTGTCTTCATTTTGATTTTAAATTTATGATTTTTTCTTAATTTAGTCTAATTAATTATAATTATTTTTTTTATTTTTTTTTTATAGAAAATAGGCACATGAGCAGCATATTAAGCTTTTGTAGCATATCCAAGTTGAGTTCCCTCTTTATTTTAGGACTGTTGTCCCTTATCCACTTATCTCGAATTCCGATATCTTCGGAGATAACCTCGGCCTTGCCGAGATCACCTCGGTGTCACGACCAGGACACGTGACACCTTGGCTGACACGTCGGCGTCACCTTGCCACGTGTTGGTATTCAGAAAATATATCCTCACAAAAATTAAAATTAAAATAATTAAAATTACAATGATCAAAATAATACGAATGTACAAAATGTAAGAATTTGCCCTTTTAAAATTTAGCAAATGGGTGTGCCCTTCAATTCCAACCGATGTGCATCAATATTTCCACCATTTTTTAATGAAAAAAGAGTAGATTTAGAACCCCACCAGATTTCATGGAGTTCACATATACTTAAAAATCTAACTGTTGAATTTAACATTTAAAAATGAAACAAGCTTTATAATTTAACCAGTGGCGGAGCCACATGAGGCTTAGGGTCATGTGACTTCCCTGAATTTTTGATTTTTATATATATATATATATATATATAAAATTTTAAATAAAAATAATATTTAGAATAAAATATCAAGGCTATTTTTAAGTTTATAAAAATAATAGTGATTATTTTATTGAAAATGAAGTAAGTACAACAAATTATATTTTTATGTGTAAAAATTTTATGAAAAAATCTCAACATAAAGGTAATATCTATCATTATTGATATGCAAATATAATTAATCTCACTATATATATATAAAAATTACTAGAGTGTTAGTTATATTTGCATGCAGAGTTCACCCTTTATATGTTGTTTTACTATTGGTTGGTGATATCATATGTCAATAATGACGTGATATCACTATTATATGAAATTTTTACTCAAATTTTGTAAAAATTTGATTTATCTTACCATTATATAATTTATTTTAAGAGTTGAATATATGAATATTTTTACATTGTCCATTATACACTAGTTACACACAATACTTTCTTTTCGATTTTACTCGAAGTTAATTTTAAAATTTTATGTGAAACACTTTTGTAATAATTTATTTAAGTTTTTGTACTTAATATTAATTCAAAAATTATTATTATCTTCTTATTGTTAATTATAAAAAAAAATTAAAGTAATCTAGAAGTGCTCCTTCTGATTTAGTTTCATGCCTCCATCACCGACATTAACACCTTATTCACTAATTATACACAATACTTTCTTTTCGATTTTACTCGAAGTTAATTTTAAAATTTTATGTGAAACACTTTTGTAATAATTTATTTAAGTTTTGTACTTAATATTAATTCAAAAATTATTATTATCTTCTTATTGTTAATTATAAAAAAAATTAAAGTAATCTAGAAGTGCTCCTTCTGATTTAGTTTCATGCCTCCATCACCGACGTTAACACCTTATTCTTATTCTTATCATCAAATTTTACTAGTCAATTTATTGCAATTTCAATCAAGTTATAATAATATGATTATTCTGTTGGATTTATTTTTCTAGTGTGACCCAATAGCCTACATATTTTCTACATGTTTTTAATTTATTTGGACTCCACAAATAGATAAAGCCAATATTTGAGATCAAGTTCAGTAATTAGAATTTTAATATAATCACTCTTCTAAGATAAGAAGGAAACCTTGATGGATTAGGAATTCTTCTGATAGAGTTTATCTGGCCCTCTTCTCTCCTCTATATAAGGATGGGTGACTCCCCTTTCATATCATGAGTATTATTCCATCACTCTAAGTTTTATAGTCATCCTAATAAAGTGAGAGACAGAGAGAAGAAGGTGAGCCAAGAATTAAAGGTTCAACTATTAGGGGTATTTTCTCAACTTCTCTAATTCAATGGCTGACAAAGGTATGTTCGTTTTATTCTTGAGTTGTATTGAATTCAAGATCCTGTAAAGTTTAATTCCGTATTATTATTATGGTTACATGTATTATTAAATCTTACAAAAACTACCAAACTCCTATCATCAATATGATAATAAAATATAGTAGCTCTATTCACCCTTGTGAGGTGTGTAGAGGGTGGGAAGTAGTTTATCTACACATTGGGGTAAGGCTGCCTACAAATTTCAGTTTACTCGCAATGGTGGGAGGCTTTGGGATTGCCAATTCCAGTCTAGAAATTTCACATAAATGGAACTCCAAAACAATCAGATCATGAACCTATGGGATGAAAGTTTTGTTGGAAAAATATGGGTTTTTTGGTTTGAGGATTGAATGAAAAATTGTTTCATTAAGTTGGTCTCATGAATGAGAGATTGAGAATGATGATTGTGCATATAACACATGATGTGGATGTGTGGATGAATGGCATAATGTTGGAAATCATGTGGTACACATGGTGTGGCTTAATGTTGGAAACCATGTGGCACACATAGCCTAACCATGAGGGACACATGGTTTGGGAAGTCATGAGGTACACATGGCCTTGCCATATGTCTTGCCAAAGATGCCTGTTTAAGGGCATGCTCAACATTGTGAAAATGATCACAAAAGACGCTAAGTTCTCTCTTGTGTATAAAAAGGAGACCATCCTCTTTTCCCATTGTGTATAAAAAGGAGACCATCCTCTTCGGTTGGAGTACAAAAATTTTTGCTCTCATATTATAGTTAGTTTGCTCCTATAATATATTCTTCCTCCATGAGAGAGTGCTACCATTGTTAGTTCACCAGAGCTAAACAGAAGGTGCTTCTGCGTTAGCGGGTTATAAACCATCGTATCTTGGAGACAAACGCCGACATACCTCCAGTACCACGGTGAGGCGGCGAAGACTGTGGTACCACACAGGCTTTGGTTTGCTTTCTATTACCATATTATTATGTTAAATATTTCTATTCATCGAGCTGTATGATTTAGTTCCTTGATTTCATGTCCTGTAATTTAATTTATTAAATATGGATCTATTTGTTTTTTTATATAATTACGCAATTATTACAACAAATTTAAATATTTATACTAATAAAAAAATCTAAAACTAACCCAATACATTGAAAAAAGTTAAAAAAATCTAAAATATGATGAAAGTTTAAATGTGGCAATGGTCCTTTGTGTTACCATTTCCCAAAAAGCTTTCTTGATTGCTATGTCAATTACTCTCCCGATAATAACAGTGTTTACTAACAAAAAAACACCCATACCTACTATTTTCAATGTGTTTGATGGAATTATTACCTTCCAAAAATGTTGGAGGGAAGTTCTTATTTCCATGAAGTTAATATCCGACAACGGGATCGAGTTTAGAAATTGGAGGGAAGTGTGTTGGATTAGTTTCTGCAACAAGGGAATTCAAAATATTTAAACTGACTATAAAGTATTCTACAAATGGCATAAAAAACCCAAATAAAACTAACCCAACATATTGAAAATACAATAGAAAGTTTAAAAAATCTAAAATCTAAAATCTGATGAAAGTTTAAATACATTGAAAGTATTCATGGGATGAAAGTTAAAAAATCTGATAAACGTTTATACAACAAGTGCAGTAACACTGTGTTTGGTTAGGGGATTTGAGAAGGAATTTGGAAAAGGAAAAGGAAAAGTTGTGTGAAACTAGATGAAATGTAGGTATATTTTATTCACATTTCACCTATCTTTTTCGTTTTCTTTTTCCTTTCCAAATCTCTTCCCAAATCTCCCAACCAAACACAGCGTAAGGGAAAAATAAAATATTTAAACTAACTATCAAGTATTCCACAAATGGCATAGAAAACCCAAATAAAATTAACCCAACACATTGAAAATACAATGGAACATTCCCAAATCTTAGATACACAAACACAGCTGTCAGCAAATGCACAACCAATTTGAGGTTTATAATAAAAAAATAAAGCAAAAACAGAGAGAGAGGGGGAGAGGCAAAAGCAAAAACAAAAAAAATTACTGTAATGAACAATCAAGCAGCCGAAGTGATGTCGCAACCAGTGTGAACAACGGTGAGAGTGGTCAAAGTAGTCCACAGTCGAAGTGAGCTCTGATGAAGGCAAAAGAAAAAAAATAATGTGTTAAATTCAATAAGAAGAACAGGGAGGGAGACTGAGATAGAGAGGGAAGGTGGGGAGGCAGACCTGGGTAGGTGGGGAAGGAAAATAGTTGTGATGGTTAGGGAGAGAAGTGTTTGGGCGGGAACCATCTATTGATCTGAACCAGTGATATATACTTAGGATTCATCTCAACCATTTAAACTGATACATTTGGGATATTTTCAAAAAGGGGCTGGCTTCCCTCCAGTCCCGTGATCGGACCAGAGGGTACTAATATAGATTTCTATGTCTTTGGGCTTATGTGTAATTGATATACTGTTTTTTGATTTCTTGAATGGAACAAGGTTAATTGATGCATATTTTTATTTTTTGATGAGGAGGAACAAATGATTTTACTGAAGGGAGTAGCTGGGAGAGCTGGTAAATGTTCTTACAGAAGTTGAGCAATTTTTCCCTTCTTACTGCCCTTGTAAACTTTGCTACTCATTT